TATTGCAAACAAATATGTGGTCTCTTCCAACTCTATGATTCTATATTGTTAAAAGCCCCTATACTGGGAGAAAGGTGGGATATAAATAAATAAGAGTGGTGGTAATACTACTACTACTACTACTACTACTAATAATAATAATAATAATAAATATTGCGAGCAATTATATGGTCTCTTCCAACTCTTATGATTCTGTATTTGCAAATATTGCAAACAAATATGTGGTCTCTTCCAACTCTATGATTCTATATTGGCAAAAGCCCCTATACTGGGAGAAAGGTGGGATATAAATAAATAAAATAAGAGTAGTGGTAATAATAATAATAATAATAATGATAATAATGCAAGCAAGTATATGTTCTCTTCCAACTCTATAATTCTACGTTTGCAAAAGTCCCTATACTCGGAGAAAGGTAGGATATAAATAAATAAAATAAGAGTGATGGTAATAATAATGACAATAGTGGTAACAACAACAACGGTAACAATAAATTGCTGCAAGCAGTTACACAGTCTCTTCCAATTCTATGATTCTGCAATTGAATTGACAGGCCGCTTGTTTTCGTCTTGCAATTGAAGTGGCCGCCTGAAGCCATTGTCTTGCCTCACTGTTGAATCCTGCAGCCCTGTTCATTCCTATGGAGCATCTCCCAAATACAGCATCTTGTCCTGTTCTTGTGATTTTGGTTGCGAATGGCTTGCCCAGAGCAAGGTCATAGAATCATAGAATCATAGAGTTGGAAGAGACCACAAGGGCCATCCAGCCCAACCCCCTGCCATGCAGGAACTCCCAATCAAAGCATCCCAATCAAAGGTGCTCAGCTCCCGTGAAGAACCTCCTCTGTCTGGCTGCTGGGCAATGCAGTACGGAAACAGGGATTTCTTTATTGTTTTGCTCCCACCCGAGGCCCAACTGGGATCCATCCAGACCAGTGACAGATGGCTTGCGGTAGTGCTTTTTTGCCAACCTTGAGCCGCTCTCAGTGTGGGCTGCTTTTTCTCTCTGCAAGCAAGGACACACATTCCTCCCACGTTCTTGGGATCAGGCCACCCTGAAAGCAGCAACCCAGAACCCAGAATGGAAAAAAATCCTACTTTTTGGGGACCATAACTTCCAGAAGTCTTGGGGGAGGATATATTTTCCAAAGACTATACCTCTATTTCCTTGAAATATGCATTTTTCTGGGGTTTGGGGGAAATTACAACACCCAGAACTCTGGGCAGAGTTGGAAAAGTTTATTTTCTTAAAGACCACAGCTCTTTTCCTCATGAAATATGGAATTATTTTTGGGTTTTGGGGAGAATTCCTTCTTGGACAACAACATGTGCATGTGCATACACCCACATGCCAAGGGTTCTGGGAGTTGTTGTCCAAAAATGGAACTTTCCCAGGCTCTGTGACAAATTTTGTTCAAGCTGTGCCGTTTCAGGAAATGTCATGAAGAGCAATAGAAGTATCCAGGTGAGCAGAGCTCCCGCTGTTCCAAAAAAGGGGACTTCCTAAAGGAAAGCAGTCCATGTCTTCTTCCCAGAGTCAGTGAAGGCTGCAGGGAATCCAAATCCAAAGACGTATCACCAGCATTGATTTGTCCAGGACTGCCGGCGCACTTTTTGGGTGGCTGCCCAGGTCAGTGGGAGAGGGAATCCGCTCCAGGTCTTCAAGGAGATTTCCAAGGGCTTGAACCCTCTTCCTAAGTTAGTCCAGCACCTTGGAGAACGATTGTCGTCCTTGCTCTGTGCCTTCAAGTCATTTCGAGTGACACTAAGGCGAACCTATCACAGGGTTTCTGGGGCTGAGAGTTTGTAACTCGCCCACAGTCACCCGGTTTTTATTACTTTTCTTTTTTATATCCTGTCTTTTTACCAGTGTGGTCGTTGTTGTTAACTGCCCTCGAGTCGATCTCAACTCATGGCAGCTGTATGAATGAGACCTCTCCAAGAAGACCCTCTGTCCTCCGTTGCTCTGCTTCATTCCTTATCACCCCTTAATCCCCATAGGGACCTCCTTCATAATAGAGTCCCTCCATTTGGCCTTCCTCTCTTCCTCCTTCCCTCCACCTTCCCCAGCATCATTATTTTTTCCAAAGAGTCCTCCCTTTTCTTCTCATGATGTGTCCAAAGTACGACAGCCTCAGTTTGATCATCTTGGATTCTTCCGGGGAGGTTTTTGGCTTGATCTGCTCTAGGATCCATTTGTTGGTCCTTTTGGCTGTCCA